CAAGGAAAAAGGGGTGAGGAGGGAAGAGGAAAGCAAAATTTCAGCAGGCATTTCAGCAGGTTTGGGGGAATGACTGCACTCCACCCCCATCAGCTCAGCATGCTGATGGAGACAGTCAGGGGAACGCAGAGTTCCAGATAGTGTGGGAGAGGCAGTGTTGTATAGTGGTTAGATTCAGATTGGGACTTGTGAGATCTGGGTTCTGGTCTTCCTTGGCAGTGAGTCTCACTGGGTGACTTTGGGCAAGTCCTAGGCACTCAGGCTGACCTACCTCACACAGTTGTTGTGAGGATAAAATGGAGGGGAGCGGTCTGTAAGTCACATTGGGTTCCTTGCAGGAGAAAAGTGTGATAAAAATGTAATATATGAATAAAACATCAATCAATCAATCAATCACTCCCAACAGCAGGTTCAGTGCTGTCGAAACTCTGGCAGGCCAGCACAAAAGAGGATAATGGATGTCTACCGGGAAACATTCTCCGTGCTAGTAGAAAGCAGCTTCTCATGCCCTCTGTCTTCGCTTCCTTCCAAATCAGAGGTCACCTCAGGCTCTGTGATGGGGATGATGGGCTCTGCAGTGCCACAGCCCTGGGGACAGGCCCAGGTGTTTCTCCCGTTGGAATTCCAAGCACGGGCCCCTCTCTGACACCCTGCTGTTCAGAGGAACGGTGCCGCCGCCGCCGCTCGGGTGTGCACAGGGGCGAACGTGCGCTGCCGTCTGAGATCAGGACACTCGGTGCGCGCCTGTGCTGTGGGGCTGCCAGTGCTGAATTGCTGTTTGGACGGGATTGTTTGAAAGAGGGGCAGAGGGAGAGAATTTCTGTTCGAGAAGCTTTCTGGCCGGCTGTCAAAATGCGCTCAGCAAAACATCTGCTGTCCCACATGGAGAGGTTCCAGAAGGCGGCGATTATGTGGATGATCCCGAAAAAGCAAGGACATATGGACATTTATATATATATACATTTGTTCTAAAATACACATGTGACTTGCCCTCTGCATTATTTTTGGGCTGGCGCTTCAGCCTGCCCTGATGCTGGGAGTAAAAGACAGGAACTGGTTTTGGCACACCGTCAAGACCTTTTTCTGGGAGGTTTTTTGTGGGGATGGAAGAAAAAAAGAAAAAGCTAGAGCCTGCACGCCAGCTGGGTGGCCGTACCTGCTCGGAAAACAGCTTGTCTTGTGATGCCTTTATGCCGGAAGCAGTCACACGCTCCGATGTGCCACGACTTCTCAGGTTCTGTCACCAGTAAATGATCCGTAAACTGAAACCCTGGCAGTGATGCCAGACTGCTCTTCCTGCAACCTGTGGCCCTGGGTGCGTAGGAATCATAACTCCTGTCATCCCCAGAAGTGGAACATAGGTGGGAGAGTATTTTTCCTTGCCTGAATGTGCTCACACAGGTGACTGATGGGCTAAGTACGGAGCTGAGAGACTGGGGCAAGCTAATTGGCCAGGTTGGGGAAGGCTGCCTTGAAAGGCAGGCAGAATTCTTCTGGTTGTGTTGACTACAGCTCCCATCCTTCACAGCCACCGCAGCTGCCGGGACGATGAGAGCTGCCGTTCCACGCGTGTGGAGGGTGGGTGTCACCACGGAGAAGACGCTAAAACCTTCCCAGCCTATGTCACCCATGCACTGTACTCCACAGAGCATTGAATCCGAGCCACTCGGGATGTTTGGCCGAGGCGCCCGGCTGGCCGCCTACGGGGCTGCTGCAAACGCAGCACAGTTTGTGTCTGAAACAGCCATTGTTCTCGACAACAAAAAGCCACCCGCCACCCGTCACGGCCTTCCACGGCCCTTCGCTGCTCCGGCTTCTGGCTACTTCGCAACCCAGGATGGAAAAAGCCGCCCGGAGCGATTTAAAAGGCAACGGCCCCCTTGCTTCCGTCTGCCACGGCGGTATTTCAAGAGCAGGCCACGTTTTGACTTTTCCCCGTGTTCCCCGTAAAGCCCCCTCCAGCTGCTTGCGTCCGTGCCAGGATTTCAAGGGCCCCAGATGCTGGTTCTAGAAAAAACAGGCTAGGTTTCTTTTTTTAGGGTCCCTCTGGCAAGGGTAGGGCGAGGGCTGGCCTTCCTTTCATCCTCTGGGATAGATGGGAAAGTCTTCTTAGAATCCAATGGGGGGGCCCTGCACCCGTCTCTGGAGCAGCCCCCCCTTCCAGGGACAGTGTGGATTTCCATGCTTCACGCAGCTTCCAGGCTGGCCTGGGCAGCTACAGAAAAGATCACAGGAGGGGGTGTTTTTCCCTGGTACGTGGGCATCCCTAATTTTAAATCTGCTTATTTATATCCGCCCATCCATAAAGACCATTCAGAACATCACTCTAAAATTAAAAACACACCATGAATTACAAGGAAGGCGTCGCTGCACCGCTGGGAAACCGAGGAGACGCTTTGCAGAAAGGAGAACAGCTCTCTTACTCGCGGCTATGTTAAAATAACGCGTAACAGGCCTGTACTTATGAGAACACAGGAAGCATAATTCAGTCTCTTTGTTCATGGTGTGTGACAACAAATAGAGGTACTCTGGGCAGGGGGAGGACTCGCCTGCCCTGGCCAGGGTTGTCGGCACTTAGCCCTCCGAACAGGCTGGACTACACCTCCCATCTGGTCCCAGCCAGCATCGCAATTCAGGTGCAGTCCAGCGCATCCGGCCGGCACCCTCTTCCCGAGCCCTGACCGCCTTGGCGGGGCAGGATGGCTTTCGCCCTAAGGGGGCTTTTTAACCCCTTGAGGCCCTGATTTGTGCGTGCCTCGAGAATTTGGGTGTTCTCTAAGCAAGGGGCGGGTGACCAGCATGTGGTGCCTGGTCGCATTGCCAGTGATGGGGAGCACTGGCAGTTGATGTCCCGGACATCTGCACATCTCCTTTTCCTCCCCGCTGCACGAAACAGCTCTGGCATTCCTGCATGGGTGGGCTGATCCGATGCCAGACCTTTTCTCTCGGCCTTCTGTGGATCTGGATCCACGTCCCACGTGGGGGGCTGGGGACTCTCTGCCCTCCTACCATTCTCGCCCGGTGCAATATTTTGCCTGTCTCTTCAGGTGATCTTTATCAGCAGTACTGATTCAATGTCCCTGTGAGCACCTGGTGGGTAACAACACATCTGCTTCAGGGGAGTTACTTTGGCCACAACGAGGACCATGTTCTCCTGTGCTTTCTCTGATTCCCCACTGCGGGGTTTCCCTTTCAAGTCAGCAGTAAATAAAACCGCTGCTGAATTCGGCTGGGGGGATCCAGGGTGGATTCTTGTACTGTGGATCAGAAAGGGGATCTCGGGGTGCCGTGCCCGCTTATCTCTGCCCCAGCTGCGTCTCTTGCTGAGACTCGGGCGCATCTCGAGGTTGCTTCCGTTGTATCTGCCTGGCAACCCCATGTGGTAGGACAGGAGGTGACAGAGCAACTGACCCTGTGCTTCGAGGGCTGCCAGCCTGAAGAGAAGAGACTAAATTGTATTTCAGAGAAGCTCTTAAACATTGAATGGAATTCACTGATGTTGATGGATTGTCTCCACGCATAACCAGAGCAGGGATCTCACCTGCTATTTTCTAAGAAAAGCATGAATCTGGAACGAGTCTTGTTTGATTTTCCTCTCTCTTGGCTTTGTTTTTTAAAAACTGGTCACTCTTTGAGGTTCTGTGCCAGATCAGAAACTAACCGTATTTGCACAGCAGTAAAATTGACTGATTGAATTTGCACAGCAAGGCTGCGCTTGTTGAAATTGCCCTCTTTGACACTTGGCTCAAAGGTTCCTGAGTTCTTGTGCACCCAGCCAACTTAAAAGTCTTCTGGAAGGCTTATTCATAAAAACAGAGAGGACTAGAAACCTGACCCCTGGTCAGGAAGGGAACAGGGCTAACCTGTTTTGTGTTATCTCACTGGCTGGTAATTAGACTTCTGGGGTGGTTTTTCTGCTTCCCCCCCCCTCAATCTTTTGGAGGCAATCTCTGGAGTCCACCAACATCCCAAGCTGCAGGTACAGAGCCCTAACCTAGGGGCAACTTGTGGCCCTCCAGATGTTTTGGACTACAACTCCCATCAGCCCTAATGAAGCATCATGGGAGGTGTGGGCCAAAATATCTGGAGGGCTGCAAGTTACCCTCCAGTCATTTCTAACATTTATTCATTTATTGATTTAATTCCTAGACTTCCTTGCCATAATTAAACGCCCTGCAGTGGAAGACAGTCTTTACCGGGCACTGAAGAAATAGGAAAGTTGGTGCCAAGCAGGCCTTAGTGGGGAGCTTGCTCCATAACCGGGAGCCACCGCTGAAAAGGCCCTTCTCCGTACTTCCGCCACCCAAGCTTCCTCAGAGGTGGCGGCTGGAGGGCCGCCCCGAAACATGATCCTAAGGTCTGGGTAGATAAAGGCCGGCGGAGTCATTCTTCCCCCAACTGGGTATCCTCCAGATTTATTGATTTATTTATCGATTTATATCCTGCCTTTTTCCTACGAAGGGCTCAAGGCAGCTGACATCATTCTCCTCCTCCATCTTATCCCCACAACAACAACCCTGTGAGGTAGGTTGGGCTGAGAGTCTGTGACTGGCCCAAAGTCACCCAGTTGGCTCCATGGCTGAGCGGGGACTCGAACCCAGGTCGTCTGAGTCCCAGTCCTATGCTCTTCACTACTACGCCACACTGGCTCTCTTACGGATGCACTTACTGGGAATGATAGGGGTTGTAGTCCAACAAATTCAGCCGGCATGCAGTTGGGGAAGTAAGCACTAACTCCATGCATTCTGTACTAAATTGACTTCGGTCAGGCTTACTTGTGATTCAACGTGCGCCAGATTCTCAAAACCGTTTCGAGAAATCCGGGGAAAACCCCATCACAACAAAAACCCAGCCAAGCACAGCCCCCCCCCCCCCCGCCCCGCCGGCCAAAGAGCTGGGGCCTGGGCTCGGCACCTCGGTATCAAAACCCCAATTTCAGTGGTGGAATGCGCTGCCTCAAGGCTCTTCTTCGCTGACGTTCGTTTCTGCTTTCCTCCCAGTCAGGCCCCTGCAGGTCGACCGGCGCCTGGTTCTCTTCCCCTGGAGCCTTTGCCAGTGTGTGGAGCCTGCCCCACACCTGCCCACACGCCGAACCACGGCCTTCACCTGCGTTTTCCAGTGTTTCCCCTGCGACCCGTCCTGTGGGGGCACCTCGTGGGCCACCCCAGAGTTCGCGCAGCGGTCCGTGGCTCCAATGGTCAAGATGACCCGCTCCAAGACGTTCCAGGCGTACCTGCCTTCGTGCCACAGGACGTACAGCTGCATCCACTGCAGAGCGCACCTTGCCAACCACGACGAGCTCATTTCCAAGGTACGCGGCTTCCCATATGACGCCCCTTAATCAAAGGACGGGTGGGAGTTGTTTGTTTGTTTGTTTGCAAAAGGACCCAACCCGAAAGGAAAAGGAATCCGGAGCAAAGAGCGGGAAATGACCAAAATTTAGGTACCCATTCTGAGCATCAAGGTCTTTCTATAGATGTTGCAGAGCGCAGCGCAAACTCCCTGAGGCAGTAACTTCTCTGGATGTGAACGATAATATGCACGGAAGGGCAGGTGGCATCTTCTGGCCAAACGACCTGTTGGGTAAAAACACACCCCTGCTACTTTGAGGTGGCTGATTGCGTGCTTTTCAGCAGGCCCCTTGGTCCATTCCAGGAAGTGGCCCTCTGGGCACCTTAATCTTACTTTTGCTTGCTTGCCGGGCGTGTCTCCGGCAGGTGCGAGGCCGGAGACTTTTGTTGATCTCCTTCAGCTGCATCGGATCGTCCCCGTAATGGGATCCGAGTTGCGGCTTTTGTTGTCTGGCCAAAAGAGCCTTTAGGAGCCTAAGCGAAAAAGCAGTTACCAGAAAGTTCCCTTTTATGGGGCCGTGCAGGCATTAAACATTTTCTAGGCATTAAACATTAAGGATGCTTAATGGTGTATCATTATTGTATAGCGAAGGGGGCAGTTTTCCTCTGCAGAGAGCTACCTAATGTGGGCTTGAACCCAGCTCCTCCCAGTCTGTGCAGTCGCTCCTTTGGTGGGTAAATGGGGAGTGAAGGCAGAAGGGCTTTATCCCACTGCATCTGATCCTCCACTGCTGCTGCCCCTTTTTCACAGCCACACACAATGAGATCTAGAATCTTGAAAGAGGGAGATTCCCAAGATGACATACAGGCTGCTAAGAATGCTCAGCTCTTTGGAGTCACGAGGGCTGCACAGACCTTCAGACCTGCCTTGTTTGTGGGTCGCAGGAGGGAACGCAGAGTCTGATCTTTCCCACACATTTATCGAGCCTCCCTTTTGCGATATACTTAAAAATCAATACATACCAAACCCCAACGCTGAGCTTCTTTTCCTCCAGCAAACAAACACGTCATACACAAGCTGGCTGAGTGGTAAGGAAAAGGTATTCTGTACATGCACAAGTGGCCAAAGAAGCAGGTATAACATTAACATTTGGGGCCAGATCTTCGGAGGCCCTGAACAGGGAAGATTTGGGAGTTTCAATTATATACTTTGGGTGTGTGTTCGCAATTGCAAAACACCATCCTAACCATAAGCTGCTTTCTGTATTCTGGGCGCCTCCAACTGCCTCCCCATTTTTAAAGAAGAAACAGTCCAGCAGCAAAGTTCTTGCTAGTGGAAATGTGCAAAGAAAGCTTTTCTGGCTTCCTACACTTTGCTTTCTTCGTTTTGTCTACAGGGCTTCCTCCATCCAAGTTGCCCAGACAGTACAAAATTCTTTCACAGTGGCCTTGAAATGCTGTAGGAGTTCGGCATGTCTGTATTCTTTAATTTAATTTATAGGTCTCCAACAATGCATTTCTGTATCCAAGAATTCTTCTTGGAAAGGATTGCAAGCTACCAAGAGTCAGAGGAAAGGGTCAGTAAAGCCCAACCTGTCTTATACGGGCTGCACATTTTGAGCTGAGACCCTCCTGTGAGGTCTGCCCACTCAGGAGTGTGCCCAGCACGTCTCTGCATGATGTACTGGCCCCACCTCAACATGCCTTCCAATCTAGCCCCTTCTGAGGCAAGCAAGGGCATTACTAGGCCTGTATTCCTGGCCCCGGACCTATTCACCAGGTCCCTGAGTCTGTTATCTGGAGTGCCCAATGCCCATTGGTGCTTATGACCAATTTTTTTCTTTGCCTCATCCTTCCCCCCACAATTTTCAAGGCAGGATGGAGCTGGAGAGAGAAGGGTTAAGCACCCCCGCTCCAAATGCTGCAAGAACCCCATTCATTTAATCCTCTACACATGGCAATTAAGCTTGGGGGAAAAAATACCTTGATTGGTGCCAAATGAAGCTTTTAGAAATTGAGCTTCACTGTGGGAGGGGAGAGTATTTGAAAGGGTTTGTTTTTAAACCCTTTTTGGTTCCTTTTTAAAAATACCTGTTCAGTAACTGAAGCTGAATGGTGGATGATTTGCAGGGGAAGAGCGCAGATTCTCCAAAATATTGTATTTGGTTCCGTTTGGACAGGAAGTTAATTGGCTTACTTTGTCATCTTGAATCCCAGGAATGAATTCTAAATTTGCATATATAGACAGAAACTTACATGCATAAAGTTTATGCAAAATCGTGCCTTGCAAATTCCTGATGCGTGTGCTCAGACTTGCAGGGGGACTCTTCCGTTTCTTCTGTCCACTGACACATAGCAAAACTTCCTGCCCTCCAGGGATTCATTGCATTATTATATTACACCACTGTCCAATAACCAAACCCCCCTGGGCAGTTTACAAAGATTAAAACCTTAAAATACATTATAATAACCATACGAAGCTGTTTGCAAACTTAAGAGAATCCTGCCACCTAGTGACCGAAGATGATACTGCAGGCTTCAAACAGACACTTTTCAGTGGATTAAAATAGGATCCCCCTCCCCACAAGCATCCCTTGAGTACCCATGCCAAATTTCACATTTCTGGGTTTCATGGCCTTGGAGCAGTGGCAAAAACAGATGGCCAGACACACACCGTCCTTTAACATGAGTGTAGGTCAGGGTGCCAAGTTGCTTCCAACTTCTTTCCTTTCTTTTCCTTTCTTTCGAGTTCTTTCCTTCCTGACAAGCTTCTTGGGGCTGCACTCCAGGTGTGGCAGAGCAGAGGGCGCAACCCCAAAGCCAAAATGCCAGCTCGTGCATTCTTTGGCTTATGCGCTTTCCTAGGCGAAGCATCTATCTATCTATCTATCTATCTATCTATCTATTTATTTATTTATAGCATTTCTGTGCCGCCCCCATCGCAACAAAGCCTCGGGGCGGCTCACAAAGAATACCTTTCCACCTTTGAGAACTGAGAGCAGGGGAACCGTGCTGGATCCGTGGCTGGAGGGGAAGGGAGCTGGTCTTTGAGGGCCTGTTTGGCCCTCGGCAGGCTTGTCCTTCTGTCCCCAGGCTATAGATGAGGAGGTGCTGATCCGTTGGTGCTGGGGGAATTTCTCCCTCTTCCTGCTCAGTCTGCATGGGCAAACATGTCAGAGAGCAGAACATTTTGCTGCCAGATGTCGGCTGAAGTTTCAGTTGCCGCTGTTGCTCTTCTCCCGGCTGGGGAGAAACTCTGCCGTATAATGTTGCCCCAGCCTCTGCTCCTCTCTGGGCAGCTTTTGCCTTGAAAGGCAGGAACTGGGCTGTGACGTTGGTGCAACGCTACGCCTGGGAAGTTCTGACGTCCCTGGGGCCTCCCCTCCGATATGCAGAACATGGGGGAACATACATATTTCCAAATCAACATCCCAGTTATAATTTGGGCAGGGGGCCTGCCAATTTTAACTTTTCCGTTTGGTTTTCAGAAGGGCCCTCTTTTCTCTCCCCACCCTCTTTCCGCAAAAGTTTGCTAAGCCAGGTGATGCGTCAGTTCGGAGCCTCCAAACTGGTGGATAGAAACATAGAAAACAGAGCGTGTCAGAAGGGGTCTCCCGGGCCATCTAGTCTGACCCCCAGCTCCAGCCGGCTCTGCTCACAACATGCCCACCACGTGCACATCCAGCCTGTCCTTGAACACCCGCACCGATGGCGCCTCAGCCACCTCCTGAGGAAGCCCATTCCACACCCTCGGGGTCCTAACCATCAGGAAGTGCTTGCTGGCATCTAAATGGAACCTTGGCTCCCTGAACTTTGCTCCATTGGAACGCGTCCTGCCTTCCTCTGCAGGGAGAACAGGTCTCTACCCACCTCCGTGGGACACCCCCTCACATACCTGTATGTCGCCAACATATCCCCTCTGAGTCTCCTCTTCTCCAGGCTGAAGAGACCCAGTTCCCTCAGTCTCGCCTCGTACGGCATCCCCTGCAAACCGGCCACCAACCTTGCGGCCCTGCGCTGCACTGACTCCAACCTGGCTCTATCCTTTCTGTAATGAGGGGCCCAAAACTGAGCACAATACTCCAATTGCGGGCGCACCAGAGTCGTGTAGAGTGGTAGTAATACCTCTTTTGTAAGGGATGGGGAAACAGTGGATTAAAAATAGATCTAAATCATTCCTCTGACCGGACTGGGATCAGCAGCAACGGCACTGACCTTTTGCATCTGAAATCTGCGAAGTGTTTCTATGGTAATAGGGGTCCCTCTCTGGGACTCATCAAAGATGTGGTTTGTTGTTTTCAGATGCCTGAAAACCCTGCTGTGTGGAAAGGGAAATCGCTGTGAATGGATTATTCCCTGATCTCTTGCTCAGTTTTGTCTCTGGTTTGTGGCTTCTCTTAAAGTGCAGAGACTTTAATGAAGAGGATTCAAGTTACAGAACCATGAAATTGTGTAGATTCGGTGCAGTTGCTGTTAGTAGATCCATCCGTGGTGGTCTGTTGGGCCAAATACTTCCTCTTTTGTAAAGAGCTAGTGTGACAGAAGGGGACCCCCAGATTAAGTTTTACGTGGGAAAACCATCTTCTCCCCACTTACTGGGGGATCATGCTGAAGATGGCTGCTCACCTTTGGCGAGCCACTCTTTCTCTGCAGGTGACCAGGCAAACAGGTTTTTTTATCTATTGTTTACCTGAAGGCAATTTGTTCTCTTGGTGATAAACAACATAGAGTGGAACTTCTGTACAGGCAGGCAGGATCATTGGAATTTTTTATGGGCCAACAGCTTTGGACTCTGCAAGGTTTGGCAAGGGTGAAATGGCTCCCTTCCAGTCAGCAGTGGAGGAAATATTTTTGGCACTCTTAAAGGGAAACTCTCGACCCACTCTATCCTATGTCTTTCGAGCTGGTGTGGGGCAGGGGCTGAGTGAGGAAGGATATTTAGGACAGGGCTGGCTCGTTTACCATCGCCTGGCTTATCACGTCCCGTTTTTAATACGCCTCGCAAAGAGTGTGCGGGCTTTCAGAACCTTCGCATGAGACGGAGCATTTTCTTGCCACAACCGTAATGCAAACCAAATGCCTCTTCGGAAAAACATCAGACGTTGGAGGGAGGGATGTTCTGCGTTGCTCCTTGCGAAACTCGGTTGGGAAAGCCTTCCCGGACAGGAGATGCGCCAGCCTCTTAAACAGAGGCGGAGGCTCCCCGTTGCCGTCAGCAGCCCGTTTCTGCAATAGGTGCCGGAGCTCCAAAGGGGCTCCAGATCACACCGGACAGCGGAAGGCACGGGACGCTGGCGGCACGCAGGCCTTTGAGAGCGCTCCAAGCTCCCTTTCGGGCAGATCTGTTCAGCAGTCACGATCGTCCTCCCCTTGGGGTCAGGACCAGGAGTTTGGTTGGTGCATTAGTGCATGGCCATCCAAATTCTGGAAATGCTGTGTGTGCTTCCACAAAGCATCTTCCCCCTCTCAGAACGAGAATTGAGCCTGTCTCTCATCTCTTTGTTTTCCTCCTCCGCACCCTGCACACATCTCTGCTTCCTCTGTTCATGTCTCCTCCTCTAACTCTGCTGGGTGCAGAGTTTTTCCCCCCTGTGGACTGTCAGAACATTTCTTTTCCCTGGTAACTGCTCTAGAGTGTAAGGGGTTGGATATTTTACTTTGTCCCTGCAATGTCATGGCGGGGGGGGGGGGGTTGCTGCTCCTTCGTAGCAAGTACCAAACAGACAGGAGACAAAACTTGAAAAAGCATCTCCACCTCCTCTGGTTTAAGGGGCAGCATCATCGTCTCCCCATCTGGTCCCACAGAAACAGCTTTAAAAAATCAAACGGCTCCTGGGGCTGCCACAGAGAGACCGCCGCCAGCAATGTTAGCAGGAACGGTGCCGATTTTCCTTTCTTGGCAGGGTGGCTTTCGGCTGTACCAGCTTCAATTGATTTTCTATTTTATGTGATTTTTTTTTTAACTTGCCTTGCAGTCTTTCCAGGGAAGTCAAGGGCGAGCCTATCTGTTCAACTCAGTGTGAGTCTCTTGCATTTTCTTTCTTTTTTGTCACTTGTTGTTGTTGTGGGACATCATGGCAGCCTTTACGTTACAAGTGCAGACTATTTTTCCTGCCCCCCCCCATTCCCCCACAAGAGGAAATCCAACATGCAGATTGATGAGATACAGGAGGGCTCTTGGTTAAGGTGGATTTCCGAGGGGCTTCCACAAATTCACAGAGGAGGGGCCCAGTCCTACGGATCAGGGCCATGGATTCTGGTCTACTGAAGTGTAACGCTCTTTCAGCCCTTCAGTGAAGCCTGTCCTTTTGGAATAAAGGGAGCAAACTGCACAAAATCCAGGAAAACGGTCCCTGTGTGGAGGAAGGGAGGGGGCACGGCCTCCAGTGGAACCTTGGCAGCTTTGCCTGTGGATGCCCATTCCTATTATCCTCGGCTGCTGTGCAGACGAAACCTCCAGGATCAGTGGCAATGTATCTGCAGAGAACCATTTCCCGATTGCGGGCATCTCTGAGCAAAGCCAAATGCCGGACTAACTTGATTCTGCATTCTGAGTCCTGGGGGAATACGTGCATTTCCTACGTGAGCCTATTCGAGCCAGTCTGGGGCGAGGGGGCACATCAGAGAGCTGTGTAGGCCATCAGACGTTGGCCCTGTTTTGTGGAAGACCCCTTCTGACTTTCGATGTGAAGACGCTGTGTCTTCCACCCCTGTGAGATCTGTAGTGTGTCAGAATTGTTCACCAACGTCCACAAGCCCTAGAGAGCCGAGATCCGGGGCTCACAGAGTTCAGCGTATCTTGACGCTTAGAAATCAGGGGTGACTAGGCACTGTGCACGTGTATGGGGGATGCCCACACCTTCTGGAGGCAGGCGCTCCCCTAGCTATTGGCACCTGGTGTACCACCCTTCTCTAGGGGCACAAAAGGCCCACGCAATCGCACACGCGTCAGACCGGGCAACGCAGGGACGTGGCACCTGCGTTCGATTTCTGAGACGCTCCCGGGGGCCACGTTCCTATGCAGGATGACGTGAAAAGCAAAACCGGCGAGCGGAAACGACCACAGATGCTCGGGTGCCGACGAGCTCTTCTTCCTGGTGGGAAGTAAGCCTCCGGGGGCACAGGTCCAGCTTTTGGGACGGGACAAAAGCCCCGTGAAGACTGGGGAAGCACTGTGCAGTTGTGGGGGGCAGAGTGTGGACCCCTGGGGGACCCCAGCAGGGGTGGAGCGCCCGTGCATCCACCACCTAGGGGCACTCTGGGCGCCAGAGAGATCCGCACAAGATGGCGCTCTCCGGATTAAGGGCCCTTTCCTCCCTCCTCGCCTTCTGTTCACAGTGTCAACGTGGGCTGTGGCCCCGCAGAAGAACGGGTGTTGCTAACGGGGCTGCATGCGGTGGCGGACATTTACTGTGAAAACTGCAAAACCACACTGGGCTGGAAATACGTGAGTACCTGGGTTCGTTTGCACCTCTGCTTAACGGAAAGGTTCCCGTCGCTTGGGCTGGGCAACCGTGCTTTGGACTACAGCCCCCACAATCCCCCGGCATCAGCCTTGTGGGCTAGTGGGAGTTGTGGTCCGAACACCTGGCCGTCTATGCCTTCCCCATCCCCTTTTATATTCTTTAAAGGGGCTGCGGTCGGTCGAACGGCGTTTTCTCCCCATCCGTCCTTTCTGGACTGAGCGACGGGAGAGCGTGACGGCCCCCGCGACAGGAGTGCTATTCATAGAAAACATTTCCAAACACTACCTAACAAACTAGCAACAGCTGCCTGGCTGCTTGGCAGAACCTGCCCTCCCCCTCCCGGGGTGGGGGGGGCAGCGGTTGTGGATTTCACCCCTCCAGAAGCTGGTTCCTGTTTATTTTTTATGCATTTGAACCACTGTTTACCTTCACGGGTTGTAGGAGAGTCATGAACGGAAAGAATTCTTGCAGGAATAAGATGCCCTGCAAACAAGAAAGCAACTTTTTTTTTTTTTGAATCTTTGAGAGATAACAGGATGGAAATAGCACAGGCTTTGGCCTGGCGGGGAGAAAGTGGAGTGGGAGACATTTTTCTCCCGTCTCCTAATACCAGGAGCCAAGGGAGCCATCGCATGGAGCTGGTGGGCGGGGGACGCGGCTGGGGAAAGGGGAGAGTCAAAGCGTGGCAGTTGCTCCCACGGCAGCCACGGTGTCAGGATGGCCTCCCGTTGGGATGGTGTTAAAGGCAGATTAGGCAGAGCGGGGGGAAGGCTCTTGGAGGCAGGATGCCTTGTCCACCAGCTGCTGGGGAACATGGGCACCACAGTTCTCCTGCACTCATGTCCTGTGTGGAGACGTCCTGTGAGCCCTGAACAGGACGTTGACTAGAGGGTTGTCAGGCTGAGCCAACAGAGGTCTTTCTTGTGTGAAGCTCTTATGGGACGGATCCTTGCGCAGCCAAAAACAAGCTCAGCTCAGCTAAGCCCCAGACTTGGTTGGGAGGCTCAGCTAAGCCCCAGACTTAGTTGGGAGGCTCCGCTAAGCCCCAGACTTGGTTGGGAGGGCTGCTCCCATCAGCTCCAGCCACCTTGGCTGGGGGTCAGGAACTCAGGGACCCCTGGGCTGGGGAAGGCTGGTTGGCCTTGGACTCTTGGACTCTCCCGTCTGCTCTCACACCAAAGATCCCAGTTTTCATGGGTCCTCCAACAAGATCTTTGCCCAGAGAGTCTGCTGACCGAGGCCACCAGCTCCTCCTGCCGCTGCCTACGTGCCTGCCACAGATAGCTCGGCGCCCTCCTCTTTTATCTTCTCCCTGTGGCCTGTGCCAGGGCACGTGCCAGCCAAGCAAGCCAGCTGCAGCGGTGAAGAAGAGGAGAGGGTCAAAGGGGGGTCTTGGTGGCTGACCCTCAACAGTTGCCTGGCTGTTTCCACTCCAGCCCTGCCTAAAATGGAAAGCTGCACAGACACAAAACCCGCACGCACGCGTTTTGTACAGAAGCAAAACTTCACCTATGTAAAATGCTGATACACAGACAGAATTAGCACCGGCCTGTGGGAGCAAGTCTGCTCAGGAGTCAGCCCAGCGAATGCAGTGAGCATCAGCTTGCAGCCTAAGTGTGTGCGCGCTTGCTGGAGCGTCATGCCCAAGAGATCGGTGGGGCTGACCTCCAGGCAAACAGGCCCCCAAGGGTGCGGGAATCGGCTCAGTGCATCGGTTTAAAACGAAGCGCTCGTTCATCTGGCGCTGGCACGCGGGCTGCCCACAGCCTGGCGGGCTGCCAGAGCATCTTTGGGTTTGGAGCACATGCTGATAGCCAAGGACACCCTTTGCTCCAGCAAGGCAGCGTTGTGGGTTGGGTGACCGGCAAGTGGACGGGTGACTGAGAACAATATTTAGCCTCTGGAATAAATCTGTGAACTTGATCCCGCTGTAGAAAGGGAGTTGGAGAGAGTTCACACCAGCTAGGCACTAAACCTCCAGCCCTTTGAACAATCGGATTATGTTTCTAAAACCCAGCTGGGTCGTTTGGAACATAAATGAACTGATATATATATTTCTTTTTGAACATGATGCATGTGTTTAAAAATGACCCTGTCGCACAGACCTACTCCCAACCTGCTTTAAAAGAAAAGAAGCGGAGGGGGGAGTATTGATTTTTCTAGCATGTTTAGTGTCTAAACCAGGTCTGCAAAGCCTCAGGGGCCCTACTTTTCCCACCTATGATCCCAATCCAGACATCCCGGGGATAAGTCAGGGTCTTTCTGAAAGGGAGGGAAGGAGGGGGAAGTTCCACTTTGGATTCCACCCTTTACCTGGGCATTCTTCTCCCACATCTTGAGGAGAGGTCAGCGCTGATACTGTCCTGCAGCCTGTTAAGCTGTAATAAAGAACGATGCTCTTCAAGTTCGCTCCGAGTTTGGCGAGGATCCGAGTGAGAGGCCGGCTTGTGGCCACGTCACATGTTCACAGGGACAGTGCCTCAGTCCGGTGGCCTCCACGGCTGGCCTGCCGAAAATCGCAGGCTTAGGCCCAAATACCTCTGGGGAAGCCCCCGCCCGCACCCCGAAGAGCTGCTGCCGGCTCTGAGCTGCACGGGACCCTCGCCTCGCTCTGTGTGAGCAGCTTCCTGCATTTCAACCCCATTCAAGCCCATGTCCTGGCCCACCTCTTTGGGTGGGCCTCACCCCCCGAGGAATCCAAGGGGTTCTGCGGGTCGGGAACGGACCTGCCCAATTGAATCCCAATCCATAGCTCGGGATGTCATCCGGCTGACTTCCTCGCGCTGTGACTACTCTGCGCTTCGTGGTCACGTTGGTTTTGCCGACTCAGCCGTGTCCCCTTGCCGTAACGGGTCTTTCTTCCCCTCCCTCTTTTTGATTCTCCCCTTCCGAAGGAGCACGCGTTCGAAAGCAGTCAGAAGTACAAAGAAGGCAAATACATCATCGAATTAGCACACATGATCAAAGATAACGGCTGGGACTGAACCGCGTGGAGAAGCGGCCCATGAGCCACGCCAGAGGGAGGATGCCGCCCGAGCGAACACTGATCTCCGGCAGCGAGCGAGTAACTGAAGACTGCTCGGTTCCATGCATTTGTGGGCTTTGTCGCCACCGTCGTGAAGACGCTTCCTCAGCACCCTTTTGCCATCCTCCCGGGAGACCAGCCTCCATAACTCCGGTCTCCTTCGCTTTTGTAATCCGTTCGTGAGTCGACTTTTAGTACACCTCTTTCCCTCTCGCTCCTTCATTCTTTCTCTTTGCTCTGGCACTGGCGAAATCAAAACAAGAGAAGAACGAACCCAGTGGCCAAACCGTTTCACAACTTGACGTCTCGGTACGAATGGAAGGTTGGCTCTCAGAGGGTGTGGGGGGGGGCATTTTTATCCAAGTGTCTCTGGGGTGTGGGAAGGAGGAGCTGTCTTTTCGGACATGGGGCGGTGGCGTGGGGGGAGTGTGGACAGGATAAGCCTTGGCTTGAAACTTACGGACCGTAAAAGAAATACCTCATGGCTGCGTTTGCTCTCTGCATCTCAAGTGTGTCGATCCAAACTCCTTGCTTGTCACCGTTCCCCCAGTCTGGTACCTACTCCTCGCTTCTTTGTTTTTTAAGTGGTTTCTCTGGATTTTGTCTTTGTATGAACCTTACGGATAGGGAAGGGTTTGTCCTCTTGAGTTCTGCTCTTTCCAGCCCTGGCCTCCTGTTTCCCCTTGAGTGGGTCCACCCCAAATGCTTCACCAGTGATCTTGAGCACCGATACCCTGCCCTCCAGGCCAGAATCAAGAATCATGACAAAAACAGGGGGGAGACCCTTCCCGGGGGGGGGGGGTTCTGATGCATGCGAGACCAAGGGGCAACCTCGGCGAATAGCTTCATGACTTCCAACGGGTCAGTTAGTGGATGAAGGGGGTGCAGATTTTCCACTAGATCCTCCGTGCCTTGGAAGTGCTAGGGGACTCCAGTGGCGATTAAGCTTTGGGAAGAAACGCTCCAGCCCCCGAACGGATCTGGGGTTCTGGCCAGCCACTGGAGAATGGGGGGAGGATCAGGGGCAGCAACAGAGCTCGGCGCCCGGAGTCGCTTGTGTGGAGAGAGGAACCGGACCCCTTCCTCCCCACCGTGAGCAAGGCTCCGGCCCTTCGAGACACAGCTGTGCCCTCTTGTTTCCAGAGCATTGGCTCCGTGCCCAGGAGCTGGTGGCTGGGCACCCCAAGCTGGGCGTGCACTGGGACCTCTGGGCTGCTCACAACAGTGTGTGTTTGTGTGAAGGAGCCCTGTCCCCGAGGCTCCCCTTGCACAGGAGAAGAATGAGGCCGAAGTGTATGGATAAGGGAACCTCCAGAATTCGGAGCGGGGCATGGAGCCACCTTTAAGCCCCTTGGCTGCTGGCCACCTACTTCCCCTTTGCTCTTGCCATGCTTTTGGGATCAAAACCATACCAACTGCAACCGCTGCAGCAAGGGAACCTCCCTCCCTCCCTCTCTCAGGCATTCTCTGGACTCTAGAGGTTGTCTGTGTGAAAATGTAAGAAGTAATCATGCATGCTAGGAGGAATTTGAGCTGCTCTCCATTGCGTCCTTTCCCCTACCCTTCGTTGCCCACTAGCTGTTCCAGCAGTCCTGCAAAGGTGAACAGCTCAGTACAGGATGCCCCAAATTTTGGCAGGCCAGAATTTGGGGTGTCCTTCCCAGTGGGGGTGCATGTGTGGGTCTCTTGCCAACGTGTGGAGCCTGTTACACCTTCCGGGAGGCAAGAATTCCTTTCAGATGGACAAAAGGGTCACACCCCGGACAGCAGCGTTTGCTCCCAGTTCTCCATCTGGCCGGACGAAGGGATGGAAAACCCCCCAGGAGTTACTAGGGAATTCAGTGGCAGCCATTGATGGCTGGAAGGGGGGCGTGTTTGTGTTGCGTGGCAGTGACGCTGTGGATCGGCGTTCGGCGACAGCCCCAATCAGATTCATAGCACAGGACTGTCTTGAATTGAATTACTTTGCCTTCATCTCTGTGGATTCTTTTCTGTTTTCACCCCAGCTGCCACCCCCTCCCCTCCCCTCCCCTCTCGTTCATGAATGTCTTTCATGTAGGTCAAGCTGCTTTGCAAATCTGTCACAATCTGGTGGCGAAAAAGATCCCATGTTTGTCAGGACAGAAGGGCTGGGCATGGGTGCTGAGCACCTGACGGAGCAGTTTGTTTTTCTGAATGGCTTGTGAAGGCTGCGCTTTGCTCTCTCTCCTCCTTTGGAAAAGATTAATTACTCAGGATAACAGCCAAGCAGGGTGGAGAATTCCAGTTCAGTGGAAGGTGATCCTCACAAAGAGAGCACGGGAAATGTAGATTGTCCTCCACCTGGTCACTGCTGGGGGGGGGGGAGGCTTTAATGCTGTGAGATGATCATTACTAAATGTTTTGCAGCCTGGTTTGACTCACTTGAATGCTGCCCCCTGAGGTAGGGCTCTGTGGAGCCCATTTTCCAGATAGGGAAACTAACGGGCTAGGAGGATCCCCAGAACTGAAGGGGTGGTTCCAGCGTGCCAGCATTCACCGAAACAGCCGCTGCAAGGAGAATGCCCAAGCTGCGTGCCCTGTTCAGTTTTTTACAGTCCGGGGATCTTTTCAGGCTGCCGATCCCCAGGTCCTTCCTCGTATGCCAAGACTGTTAGTGGGTGAGCTCCTGTCTGGGGGCCCTTTGGCATCGGGGGCGGCCCTGGGCTGGAAAAAGGGTTCGAAGTCGTGTCCCCGCCGTGCAAGCCATCCGAGCCACCGCTAAGTTGCTCTTGACAGATGGGGAGCCCCTCTGGAAGCGACACGTGGCCGCCATGCCGTCGCAGGCGGGTGATAAGACGGCCTCCATCACGTGGCTCCAGAACCTTCTTTCCAGGCAGCGTCTCCCGTTTGCTCCAGCATGAAGCTTCCTCTGTGTATTGAAACCTCAAGTGCTTCTTACATGGCGCTCGATCTTGCTGCTAACTCGCTCACAGCGGCCTCGGTGTTCGGCCGGGGCTGTGGGGGCGAGGGGGGCCGATGCCACCGTCCCACAGTGAGTTGAGATGTAGTCATTTCCACAGGCCAGCGGGGAGCGGCTGCGCATATCAGGTCAAGGGTGGGCAGCTTGTAGCCGGCAGATGGGCCTGCGAGTCCTCTCGGCCCCGAGGGGCTGTCGGTGTTGCAGGCCAGAACATCCGGGGGCCCACAAGTGGTGAGGTCCCGGCCAGAGCATCTCTCCAGGCCGCACGGATACCCAGACGCAAGCAGTGTTTTGGAAAACAATGCCTTCGCCATGTGATCCATCTCTTACAAGCGAGACCAAAGAAGTTAGTGGGCTTCTGTCCCAAGCTGGCGGCAGCGCCCCTTCGTCCCGATGAGCGCTGGGCTAAGGAAATGATCCTTGTTCCCAGTCCCACGGGGCTCCCGGCATGCAATGGGCAGATGAAAGTGTGTTACATTTTCAGTCAGAACTCCATCTCTGGTTCCCAGGGGTCTGTTCTTGGGAGATGGAAAGCGAGGGCAATCCTTAATTACGGCCTTCCGCCTCCCAAAGCACGGCCCGTCCTCTTTGCTCTGAGGGGACATTGGCTGAGTTCCTAAATAATACGATTCTGATGATAATATATATACGTTCAATACAAAGCAGTATCTTGTGAAATTTAATTTTTATGTAAATAGTATTTAATTTTAAAATAATATATTTGGTGCTTTCTTTCCCCCCCTTTCACAGCCCTCTGAGAATAGTCTTTTGTGTTGTGATATTGAATTATTATTTTCTTTATCTGCTGCAAACTGTTATTTAAAGGGAAACAATGTAGTTTCTTGAGCATGTGGCATAAAGGAGACATTGCCATAAAGATGCATTGGGCAAAAAAATGTACTTTGCTGAAACACTCATCAAGTGTCTAGCCCTCATTGTTCCAGAGAGAAAGCTGGCAGGTACATTAGTTTATTAGATGGGGTTAGATTAGAATACCAGATGGTTAAGACACAAGAATAAAAATGGGCTTGTTCCCAGAAGGTGTTTTGATTCTTACAGCGTTTCAAACCCCTGTTTGTGGCTAGAGTTGTTTACTTGCCACAGGGTAACACTTGAAATCAGGGAATGAGTCACTCAGAAATCCTGGAGAATTGGGAGAAAGAGAGCAAGTTTCCTGGTTAGTGAGAATTCCCATTAGAATCTGTGGAGCCAAGGTTTAGTTTGAAATATATTAATAACTTCAGGGACGTGGGCTCCCTCGCATACTTGAATGTAGAGCCAGATGTTGGAACATCTGAAAGGAACGCCTTGTTTTGGGACTTTCATTTCTGTGTGAATATCAGTTGCTCCCAATGCTGCTAACCTTGCATGATAGCTATTGCAAACCTTGTGCCTTTTTCATCTCTAAAGTCCCTCTCTCTTGGAGAACTTGGCAAGTTTCTAGCCCTCATCATTCCAGAGAGAAGATTGGCAGGTACACCTGAGTATAGTCCAGTGGGTTGGCCTTGACTCAAGGAGGAATGGGCTCAGGTCCCCCCGTCTGCGATGCGGCTTGGTAGCTCTCCTTGGGCATGTCACTGACCTTCATTCAAACCTACCTTGCAGGGTTGGTGTGAGGGGGAAGTGGGTATCTTGTATCCTACCCTGAACTGCTTGGAAGATGGCAAAATAACAACATTGGATCAAAATAGACCCTCAAAGATAAAGGCAGAGGGAAAGCACGCTCAAGACACAACCAGTATTCCACCTGCCGACAGTGAAAAGATGGTAACTGTGCTTGGTTTAGTTCCGTTAATGTCATGGAGGCTTTGCATAGGATGCCAGTTACGCTCCCGGTCCTGCTCCACGGGACGGTATGGGCAAACCAGGCGTCCCACGGGGGCACTGCGCCCAGTGACGCCTCATCTGCTTGGAATTGCCACCCAGTTAACCTGCCCCCCCCCCCCCGAGGCCTGGGACTCCCACCCACTCCCTGTTCCAGTTTCCACCCTCCCTTGGTGGCGATTTCTCTTGCTGGCACGGCACTAGGGGCTCACTTGGGTCGCCATGAACTCCGACCTGGCTGCAGGGCACCCAAAAGCCAGCTCTCCTTCCACGCCAGGCGTGACAGCACCCGTTTTTGTCGCAACAGCCAATTTTGTCCCCTGCGTGTGTGCGAGGGCATGTGCCGCTGTGGTGGACGCGACGGCCTGCGATTCCCATCAGCCCCACCCCGTGGTGTGGGACGACGGTAGCCCAGGCCGAAATATCTGGAGGACCACCCTTGTCCGCCACGGTGTGGGCGCTGGCTGGGCTCCATCCATGGGCTGCGTGTGGGTTCTTGCAGAACCTGGATTGTGGCCAAAACGAGGTCCTCACGTTGCCTGGAGCCAGCTGAGCTTGACAGGCCGCAAGCAACCCATGCAGAGAACCCGCGGCTTGCCGTGGGGCCGTCCGTTTTACATCCAGTGTGTTGGGCGTCCAGCTAGCATCCCAGCCACCTGCAGTCAGTTTCCGCTCTTCCCTGCGGTGCGTAACTTCTGCCCACCGGCACAGAACCCAGCTTTTGGGGTTGGTGTTGTGACCCCGGGGTCTGGAGGTGCCCGGGCACCTTGCCTTGAGCAAGCCACCCCCCCCCATATAAACACAACCTACAGTTCCTGGAGCACATACAGGGGTGAATCAGGGATGCAAACACCAGCAGTCAAGCGACGAAAAGCGTAGTCTCGGGCTCTCAGGAACCCCTTTGCTCGGAGGCAAGGGGAAGGCAGCTGAGAGGAGACCTGGCTACCCCTAATTCACTTCAGCAAAGGCGTGTGCGAGCATCTCTCTCCAAAGTTGAAGTGAAGCATTTACAGTGCTTCGTCCTGTCCCCGATTCCAGTGGGAGGATTTTGGGGTTGGTCATCCATCCCAACAGAGCCGGCATGCTGGGATCTGGCGGCTTTCAGTATTCCCCAATGATGGTTTCATGGACTTGCGCAGGTGCCAGGTCAGCTAAACTGCTGGCGAGATTTTCTCTCTCCACCACAAAGGAGGTGCCTCTGAAATATTCTGCTCCGAGGCCCACGCACTCTGCGCGGCAAGGGAGTTCCCCGGAACCAGGCCAAAGCTTACTTTTTCATCCTGGGTTGCTTTAAGGCTCGTGGCAGACGGGTGTTCTCCATGCCTGCTTGAGCCCAGGAATCCGATAAGACATGACTGACCTTCCCTCTCCATCATTTCTGTAGTCTCGGTGGTCTTTTACCTGGATGCTGGCTATGGCAGGTAGGGCCAACGTTTGGCCGTGGTCCTTTGGAATGGGATTTTGACGGACAGGCCGCCTAGCAAGACAACTAACAGCACAGCCTATCTCTGGACCGCTTTGCGACCTCGTTTCTCCTAGATTCTGGTAAAGTGTTTACATCTCTGGTCATTACGATCTCCCTCATTTTCCCCTCCAAGCGCTCTTTTTCCTTTCCCACAGTTTTGGTTTTTCGAGAAATCTCCAAGTGGACCAACAACACAGAGGTTAGATTGCGTTTTGCTAAACCTTGGGCAGTTCTCATAAATACGGCATGCGCCTCCTTTCCCTGCCTCCCACGGTGGCCCTTTTGGTGTGCATACATCTTAAAAGACAAAGAAATAGGCCATGCTTTCACAATGGAATTTCCTGTTTCTTGTGATCATATAGAAGAGTTTTTTTCCTGTATGTGTGCGTGTGCGTTTCCTAAGATAATTATGTATTAAATATACATTTCATAGCATCATTTCATTAATGAGGGGGAATCCCAGTTCTTCCCTCCTCTTCAGTCATGGAGGGTGAAATTGCTAATGGGTAACTGAAGAAAATGGTTTACTTTGCTAAGAAAAGCCTGGAGAATCAAACATTTTGGAATAATTATGTATGGACATTCAGGAATCTACCTATATTAGAGAGCCAGAAACTGTTGGAGAAGGAGAAAACAAATGGTTTTTAACTTCAATTTTTAAAAAGCTTGCATGCTTTCAATGCGAGCAGAATAGCATTATGGGTAAGTACAGTGGGCATCATAACACTTCCCCTAAATGAAGAGTCTCTATTTCCGATACCAGACTGTGTTTACAGAACTGTGCAGACTTTTTTTCTTGGTTTTGTTTTATGGGGAGGGGAGGGGGTTGTGTCGTTTTGTTTTGGGCATATTCTTCAGGTCATTTTGCTTCAGTAATAAATGTTAATAAATTGTTTGGGTTTTATTTCCAAATCTGTCTTCACCTCATCACGCGTTTGTACATTGTAAATAGTACTGCAGTATTAGAGGCAGGGAAGATTTGTTTGTACAATGCGTGTTGGTGCTCATTTGAAAGAAAAATAAAAGTTTTCAAATATATCAAAACAGCCACAAGGCTGGAGTAGCCAGATCTGTCATTGTCGTTCCGTTAAGATCTTGGCAGCAACTGGAACTCTAAGCGGGATCATCGGCTGAAAGGGGATCTGCGTTGTGCTGAAGGCAGGAGAACCAGCAGAGTCATCAGTTGATCTTTTGGCAGCCCTCCAGGCTCCTCTTTTGAGGTCCACAGTGCCCAGCAGCCACACTCCACTCCTCAGGCCAGGTAGCATGACCTCCATTTCTCTCTCTCTCTCTCTCTCTCTCTCTCTCTCCCTCCCTCCCTCCCTCCCTCCCTCCCTCCCTCCCCCCATCGACAGACCCCCTCGCGTCAGTCTGTTTTTCTTTGTTCAGCTCCTCTGCCTCGGGTTTCCATGACAGCAGGACGGAAAAGCCCTTCTTGGATGCCCTGGGCCGCCACGCTGTTTCCATGGCGACAGACAAGGCCCTGGTACCCCGTTTCAGCCGGCTGGGCTTTCTGCTGCTTCGCCAGGGAGGAAGATGGGGACGGAGAGCCAGAATGCCCCGCCGGTGATGGAGAGGGACAGAAAGGCGAGAGGGCCGCAGCACCCCGGTGCTTTTCTCAGAGCTGGGCTCTGCACTCCCTGCGCTCACACTGGGCCACGGCGGCTTCGATGAGCCCACACAGGCCGGATGCCCCATGTCCCGCTTCATGACCTTGTTCGCCACGGATCATCCTGTGGCCTCGGAGAGGGTGGGCTTGGGCACGATGAGCAACCCTCCCTGGACCTGTGGGTCGCTCGAGGGTTGCCCGGCGGTTTGTTCACCATACCACACCCTGCCTTTTCCTCACAACCTGGCGAGGGGAAGATGGGTTATAGAATGGTTGCGCCAGGCAGGCGTGATGGCTTAAACATGGCCCGGTATGAATGACCACGAGGGTCGGGGGACCGCAACTTGCCGATTGTAACCTTTTTCTCCGCAGTGTAAGCTAGCGGCACCCGGATCGGGAACCTTCCATCCCAGAAACGTGTCGCTCCACTCTGTGGGACCCAGGAGAAAAAAGGCATGAATTTTCCCTGAGGACGCTTTCGTCCTTGCGGAACCCTAACCCCCACCCTGGTGAGGTCCAGGCAGGTGGGACTACAGCTCCTGTCACCCCAGGATGCGGGGCTATGGTGGCTGTGGGCGATGGGGTTTGTAGTCTGTGCACTGGGCCAGCTGTTGAGTGCATGCGTCTGTGGGAGAGCATCCCTCTCCGGATCTTGTGGCTGACATTGGCTTGCATGGGCCGAGGACAGCGCTGGGCTCGGAGGGCGAGCACCCACCCTGCTGCTTGTGGATCACCTTTCATTAACATCTCCAGCGCGAACAAGGCTAATAGCATTAGCGTCTGCACAGAGGACTTGACATCTGTCCCTCCCGTCACTGAACATCAGATCAGGTTGGGCCGCTAGCCAGGTCAAAAGGCTATGTGGCGTGTGGGTGGAGGAAACCGCCGAGGGGGGCGACAAATTAATCGTTCGGTCCGCAAAACCGAGTTATTTTCCTGGGACCTGGAATATCAGTCTCTCTCCCAGTCGTCTCTGTGTGCGGAGCCTCAGGCTGTATCCCCCGTCCCCTTCCACCCAGCCACGGGGTCTTTGGGGCCTTCCGGGATTTTTTGCCCCGGGCTCGTTCTAACAGGCTAAAAGGCTTTCCTGCTGAAAGGCTGTGAGAACTGGAAGCCACAATCTGCTGATACGTTTGTGATTTCTGGCCCTGCCCACTGCGGGAATGGTCAGAATGAATCCAGGACCTTCTGCACACGAAATACCAGCCCTACCTGTGGGATGACTCGAAACACCGTGTGCTTCTGAGCTCCTGACGAGCCACTGGATTTCTCCTCCTCTCTCTCGGGATAAATTTAGGTTGGCCTGGTGGCTGGCTGGCTCCGCGTTCCTTCTGACGGTGATCGAATATTTTATAATGGAGTCTGAAGCCTTGGCGTCTGCACTAGGACTATTTCTGGGCAAGATGTAGGCCTCGGGTTATAAATAGCATGCCGGGCTATTCTTTCCCAGGGAGGGCATGGGGGGATTAAATGCCTTGCGAAAGCGGCTGCAACTGGAGGGCAACTGGAGGGCAACGGGCCCTGCCATCCACGGGGATCGCGTCCAAAGATCTCTGAGGGGATGGAGAGGGATGACCGACGGCCACAGGTGGTGCCCCAGAGGGATCCTGCTCCCAGGAATTCCCACCTCACAGTGCAGCATCTTGAGGACCCTCTCCTCAACAGCATCCCTGTGTACAAACTGAAATCGGACCACAGGCTTTGCCGGGCAGGTTTGAACCCCGGGCGCTTCTACAGACAGGGCTGGGAAAACCTCCCGCCTGGACGTCGGGCAAGGTGCTGCCAGTCCTTGTTGACAATATGGAGCCAGAAGGGCTGTGACCCCATGTCCCAAGGACCCAAGGAGGACGCATTAACAAAAGCCCCTCCTTTTTCCAGGCTCCAAATGTAGGCACGGTCGGGCATGTGCCAAGGCCCCCTGGTGAGAATCCCGAAGGCTGCTCCTTCCGTTTGCCATGGCAGCCTTCTCGCTCCCCGGTTTCTTGCGGAGAGTGAGCAGGAGACGGGAAGCTGTGACCAGCCTGCTCCCTGGCCCTCCCAGTCTGGAAAGCCCGTGCTCCCCATGGTGGGGAGAGGCGTCAAAGTAGCTGGTGACCGCGGTGGTGGAGAGACCCTTAGCAAGCCCCAGGGTTTCTTTCCCGTTGCAGCCCCTGACTTGCGAGGACTCGCCGTGCTTATCCGGGATGTGTTTGAGCTTGGCACGCGGACGGAACAGAGAGGAGAGATTGCATTTCATGTCCTGTTGGCGTCCGGCAACACGGACTCCAACAACACACCCAACAAATGACAAATCCGTTAGTCTCTCAGCTGCCACGAGTCTCTCTCCTTTAAGCTGCTCTCCTTGATTCGATCCGACTCTCCCGAGCAAGCGAACGCCCCCCAAAATGTGCCCGCTTCCTTTCCGAAATGTGTGGGTGACAGTCACCGGCCCGTTTCCTCCACCTGTTCTGGTGACACGGGGCTATTTCAGATCCGGCAGTGGTCGCTTCCCATTTAGCGCTGCCGTTTCCCAAAAGGCTTTGCGCCTGCTGTTGGCACATTTTGAACCCTTCACGGACTTGTGCATATTTCCAAGAGCGCTTAGCTCCTGTTACAAATCCTTGCTAGCCCAGAATGCCGATCTGAATCCCAGACACGCCTCCACAAGCCCGATTAAATTCGATGAGACCCCGGGGGGCTTCCGGACAAGGAATTCATTGTGCTGTGCCCTGATGGTATTTCACCGGTGGGGAGAGGTCTAGATGTGATCCCTTTCCATTTACAACCTTCCTGAATTTTCTTGTTCCTCCTCCAGCCTTTTTTCCTTGAAGAGGGTCAGAAAGCCATGGGGTAGAAAGCATTCTGCAGTTATCCACTGTTTTCTTTCTTGAATGGATTTTCCTGCCCTGTGGGGAAGGAAAGAGCTTGAATGAGTAATGAAAAATCAAGAGGAAGAGTGCAGGTAGAAGACAATGTCATCTGAACACACATGCACATGCAAAAGCAAAGCAATTCCATGTTGAAAATACTTTCTTCCTGGCAGAAGTTCTGCAACAGGCTCTCTTTCATTCACCCTTAGGAGAACCACCTTTCAGGAATGGGTTCACGCTGGATTTCCTAGAACGACGGAGGAGGTTTGGGGTAGAGGGTTTAAGGGCCGCTCCAATGCCGCTGGGTTCGAAAGATCCGTTCAAGCGCTCCCCTTCCCGCCCGCCCGACCTGCAAGTTAAACCAAGGAAACGTTTAGGGGGTGGCATGAAATCACATGCCTTGATTTCATTGTCCGTTCTTGCAACGTCTTCCGGACCGAGCTAGGTTTGCTGGTGTCCAGCCGACACAGCATGGAGAAGACTCTTTGTGTGCAGCACCGAACAGCCAGAAGGAAATGCGACCAACGCGAAGGTCACCTGGGAGATGGACGCAGGCGAACGGCCCCGGGGGGACCGGATGGCTCTCCGGGGAGCAGAGCGGAGAGGTGAACAGATGAAGAGGCTCTGAAAAGAACGGTGGTGGCAGCATTGGAACAGATGTCGGTTTGCCCAGCCCGTGGCCTCATGTCACCTTTGTCTCTGCTGAATGACGGGTGCACAGACTTGGGCAAGAAGCTAAGCCTGGGTGATGCTGTTTTGGAGAGAAGCGACACAAAACTGAGGACCTCTTTCTCTCCGTATGACCCAAGTGGATCCCACAGTATTTTGGATTTAAGTGTAGAACTCTACAGGGTGAGTGGACTTAGAGAGAACAGAGGACAAGTTTCCTTTAGGCTTGAAAGGGGGGATTTTGGCACATGCCGCTTCTCCTGTCAGCGCTGGGAAACGGGAGAAAAGTTGCACCTGCCAGACATCTCCATGAAAGGCACATGGTGATTGGTCTCCTTTGACTCATTGTCAACATTTGGGGATGGGGGAAAGTGCCACAATTCCCAAGATTCTTTGCAGGGTACTAGCCACCTGTGAAGTGTAGCTGGAAGAGTTGCCAACTCACCAGGGACATGGCTTGTCTTCGCTCTTGTGCTTTTCTTAAAAGCACAGCTACAGTGACCAATGTAAAATTTGGCAATCCTACAATAGGAATACTGTAACTTCAGCACAGGTTTATCATTTCTCACCCCATGACAGGAAGTCTGTTGACAGTATACAGGCAGCAACCCAACAGGGAGAGAAAGCAGTGATGGGTTATCTTGACCCTTTGATAACCAATCTTCCCTGTTTGTGCTGCTATTCAAAAGCATGGATTCTTGGAGGCCTTCTTGCTTTGGGAATGAGTTATCTTGGTGAAAAAAACACACACTCTCTCATACTGTCAAGTGTTCTTGCCGAACTTTCATTTTAAGTGCCCCAAAGATTAGTTTTTAGAGATACAGCGTTAGAGAATGACTAAAAGGGCCCAGCTTTGCTGAGACAGTCTTTCAGCTTGCAAAAAATTGCTCTTTATTTTTCCTCCAAATCAAGGTGAA